GCGTGTGCATGCGCGTGTCTACCTTCTACTACACTCGTTTACGGTCCTCCAAATCCCTGGGATACTGTTTAGGATCACGTTCTGTATCTATATACAGGATGTTCAGAAAAAAATATTAAATGATTTTTTTTTGGACACCTTGTATATAATTCGTATATAAAAATTATTCTAATATAAGTAGAGTGCATTGGAATATTAAAATAATTGTTAATTAATTGATGCAAGTGTTCAGTCATGCCTAAAACATCGGAATATATGATCTATGTACCGTCTTCCTCGAAATTCACCTTCAGACTGACAAGTGGTCATCTATGTAACTGCATTTATTCAATGCTGTTTATATGACTTTCAGAATGTAGCTCATGTGCATAACGAAAATAATTCACCTAATTAATAGAATTTAAGATTTTAACGTTATTTTAGTATTTTTTGCATTATAATGTAATTATTTTATCGCACCTGCGCAGTGATGACTTCGATGGTCAAATTATGCTGTAATATAAGTAAAGTGTATTAGAATATTAAAATAATTGTTAATTAATCGATAGGAATGTGTATAGATGTTTATAAGCACCGTGTATATGTTCGGAGCACCACCTTCTTCGAAATTCACCTTCAGACTGACAAATGGCTATCTATGAAACTGCATTTATTCAATACTGTTTATATGACATTCCGAACACTACTCATGTGTGCAATGGTAATAATATTCCTAATAAAGAGAATTAATGATTTAAACGTTCTTATTTTAGTATTTTTTCTATTCTAATGCAATTATTTTATCACACCTGCATAATGGTGACTTCGAGGATCAAATTATGTTGTAATATAAGTAGAGTGTATTAGAATATTAAAATAATTGTTAGTTAATCGATGGGAATGTGTATTGATGTTTAAAAGTACGAAATATATGTCAGGAGTATCGTTCTCTTCGAGATTCACCTTCAGACTGACAAATGGTCATCTATGAAAATGCATTTATTCAATGTGGTTTAAATGATATTCCGAACATTACGTATGTGTGCAACGGTAATAATATTCTTATAATTTAATATTTTAATTTAAGATTGTAACGTTCTAATTTAATCATTTTTTTCATTCTAATGTAATTATTTGACCACTCCTACACATTAATGACTTCGAGGGTGAAATTATGCTACAATAAAAAAAAAGTGCATTAGATTATTAAAATAATTCTTAATTAATCGATGCAAGTGTCCAGTGATGCTTAAAACATCGGAATATATGATCTATGTACCATCTTCCTCGAAATTCACCTTCAGACTGACACGCTATATTCTATAAAAAATGGGTTGGGGGTGGGGAGTTGAGGGATAGGTGGCATGAGTGGAATGGGTTGATAAATATATATATATTATACTTCTCTTAAGAGATGTATATATATTAAATAATGGATACGTGCGTGCGTGCATACATGCGTGTATATGTGCGTGCGTGACTACTACTATTAACCGCTTATGATACTTCGAATCCCTGAGATACTGTTTAGGATCACGTTCTTTTTCTTTCTATATATATATATATGAGATTCTCTTAAGAGATGTATAATAAAATGTACATGCGTGTGTGTGTGTGTGTGTAATCGACGAGACGATGGTAATTCCTTTTGAAATAGGCTCAAAGAAACGTTTTAAAAAAGAGACCGTAAAATAATTGCTTATCATACCGTAATCGTGATGAATAATCATTTTATTTTTTATTTATTTATTTTTTTTAATTCTTTTTTTTATCTTTTATTTCGGGAGAAACTTTTGTCCGTAATCTTTGTCCTCGTTGTTCTCAGTGTCATTTTTTTTTTTTTTTTAGAGAGATGCACCTTTTTTAGTATACGGTGCAATTACTCGCTCATTTATATATATATATATGTATACACATTTATTTCGTATTTCGTTAGTATTTTATAGGTTACTGTTATTAAGGAAATAATTTTTTGTAATAATTATTTTTAATTCCAATTTTTTACCTTTTTCATCCTAATTATATATACATATATATATCTTTTTTTAAATTCTTATAAATCAATTTTATTCTACTTATTCCTCACAACGTGATTATGAATTTTATTTTATATATATATATATATATATATATATATATATATATTACATGTGTGCGAAATAAATGTGTTTTAATTTATAAAAAAAATTATCCAAGATATAATAGACAAAAATTTATTATTCCAACTTTGTAATTGTGAACAGTATAAATAATTTATTATTAATTAATAGTAAAATAGATTTTTTATTATAAATATAAATCACATTATTAAATATAGAAAACGCAATATAAAAAAATGATTAATATTTATCTTTATGCATAGAAAGTATTCTTCCTTCGTTACATTCCTTTATTCTCATAGCTGAACGGATACTAACCTTGAGTTTCATTTATGTTAGTACAGTCGTACCTGGTACACCTATCTCCTCTCTCTCTCTCTCTCTCTCTCTCTCTCTCTCTCTTGTAGAATTTCATTGCTCTTTCCGGTATGCGTGTGCCGTTTCGAATAGATTTTGATAACAGTTGATCACGTTATATGGATTTTATTCTTTTTATTAATACAGTTAATCTAAATTAACCTATGACCTGTTGATTATACATATATCATTATTATTGCATTGCACAATTATATAATTTTAATGACGATGAAAATGTAAAGTTTGAGGAATTGTCTACGAATAAAATATATATATATATATATATATATAACAATTTTTATTTTTTATTTTTATTAACAATTATTACTTATGCAATTTGTATTTTAATTTTTATTAATAATTATTACCTAATTTTTTAAATTAATATTTAATAATAAAGAATAATTTAATTTAATAATTAAATTTAATAATTTAATAATTTATTTTTTTTTATTAATAATTATTACCTGATACAAATGTTAATAGAATTAAAAATCAAAAATTGCTCATTTCTTTCATTTTGTTTATGTAATTCTAATAAAAAATATGTAAGGAAGTTTTTTTTACGTAATCATACGTTTGTTCTTTTTACAATTGAAGCAAGTACGTTCTCATAGTTAAATGTTAAACAATGAACACGAACGCATATATCATTGTTAATAATTTTCAAAGTTTTAGTACAATATAACTGCGAGGTTTAATCGTAAGTTGTCGAAAGGATGAGAATAGTATGATGAAATTAAATGCAAGTAGTCGACTATCAGTTCTCATTCGTTTAATATCTTCACATATGATGACGTACGTATGCACATATATGTAATTTATATATATATATATATATAGGCCTTTTAAACGCGATTATGTGCTTGACAAAATTTATTAAACATTTTTATAAAAAATATAATATTAATTAAATAAATATAACATATTATATAAATTGAAATAAATTGATTGAAAAATATTATATTTATTTATTATAATATATTTAAACTTAATTTATATAAATTTAAATAAAAAATTATTATCTTCTTATCTTAATATATATAAATTACGTGCACGTTGTTTGTCCGCAATGGACTCCTAAACTACTGAACCGATTTTAATAAAATTTTGCACAMTGTRTGYAGTTTCATCCAACTTGAAAGATAGGATAGTTTATATCTCATTTTATAATCGTAATATCATTTTATTGCGAATTATTTGTTTATTAACAAAAAGTCATGATTTTCTCTGTTAGTTCGATAAGATTCTAACAGATGGCGGTACAAGGTAATTCGTTGACTTAAAGACGTGTGTATCGGACTGATTGTGAGCCACAGCACCACGTGGCGGGGCACCCCTAGTATAATATAAATTAATTAATAATAATAATAAATATATTGGTTTGGCAAGTAAATAATTGTGGATTTTGTCGATAGATGGCTTTTTAAAATCAGCAATGATTTAGTTGCCAGCCCAATAATATTAATTAAATAAATATAATATTTTAATAAAGTTATTTAAATTTATATAATAATTTATATTTATTTATTACATATTTAAAATTAATTAATATAAATTAAAAAAAAAAACAAAAAAAAAACGAATGGTTCCAAAAATAGTTTTATTTGGTTAGTACGAATATAATTATACAGTTAATTTAATTATATTTTTTTTGCATTTTCGTATTGTGTCGGGTAATAGGGTTAATGAAATTTTATAGAAAAAAACTTTCTATAGTAAAAGTGTTATTTTCTTATTAGTAATAATATCGATAGTAGAAATAGAAGGAAATTACAGGAGATTTGATTTCCTTGATTTTCTCATTTCCCCACTTTCCTCATTTCCTCTCCTCAATTCCCCATGTCCTTCGAACGTTTGAGGATGACATTACCTGAAGAGGATTTATAAGGATTTAGTCATAGAGATAAGCTCCGATTACCTTAACGTTCCTGGTTATCGTTTTCGAGCGGATTAAACCGATCTAGATCTCATTCGTAGAAATAGTATGATAGTAGTGGTTAGTTGTAAAAGGGAAGCCAATGGGTGCTTCTACATCACGTAAAAGCTTCATGGGATTTCGTGCATGAGAAACAACTTTACGATGAATCGGTTTAATACCAAAGACTCAATTGATAGGGAAAGCCAGAGGATGTAGTGGTATTCAAAGCATCTTTGAATATTCGATTTGGTTTAGAATTTACAGGGTGTCTTGTAAATACAGAGAAGATATATTAATTTTAATAGTTAATTAATAAAAAGTTGATAGGAAATATTGTTAATTAAATTTATTTTATGATTGTTTTTTTTTGATATTTAAAATTAACTGATATCAAAATATATTAATGATCTATATATATATATAAAGATATTAATTAAAAATATATAATATATATTATATTAATTATAAATATAAATTTAATTATATTAATATATTAATATATAAAATATAAACATAAATATATTAAAATATAAATAATATTATTAATATATTAAATATTATAATATAAAATATTATAAAAAAATATAAAATTTAATATAAATAATATTATTATTATATTAATATATAAAATATTAATATAAATA